GGGGGGACAAGGGCTGAGACCAGGGGTGGGTTAAGCAAGGTTTGCATAAGAATCTGGGTAGATTAAAAGAAAATGGGGGGGGTAGTGTCAAACCCCTATCATTTCAGCACCCCAGGGGGCTAAGGCAAGAGGATTGCAAATTCAAGCCCAGTCTGGGCAACTCCATGACTTAGTGAGACCCATCTCAAAATGGACACTTCCCTCTCCCCCCACCTCCTGGAGCGCTGTGGGATCACAAGTGTGCTCCCTCACACCCCCAACTCAGGAGGGGGGACCCCAGAATACCCAGCAGGGCTCCAGACCCAGAAGAAGGGCAGAGAGACAGCACACCTGGGCGCTGAAGCCAGTGTAGTAGGCGAACCAGATCTGGGCCATCAGGCTGGCCACCGTCTTGTAGAAGAAGTAGCGAAGGAACTTGCAGACCCGCAAGTAGGACCAGCGCCCGTGTACCAGCAGCAGCCGCTGAAGGAAGCAAAACTGGCCCAGTGCGTAGTCGCTGTTCTGCACGGCCTGCATCCCCTCCTGGCCCGCCAGCCCCACACCGATGTCCGCCGCTGCGGGAGAAGAGCAAACCTGAGAGCCTTGGCCACCCAGGTGGGCCCCACCCCACCCCACCCCAGCCACCTACTCTTGATCATGTTGACGTCGTTGGCACCATCGCCGATGGCCAGGGTGACAGCTTGCTGGTATTTCTTGACCAGCGCCACAATCAGGGCCTTCTGCTTGGGTGTCACCCGGCAGCAGATGACTGCTTGGCACCGGGAGGCCAGGTCCACGAAGGCCCGCTCCCGTCGCGCCTCGGGGCTCTCTTGCTTCCGTTTGGCCTTGGACCGGCGTGAGGACAACGAGGTCCCCAGGCTCCACCACATCATGGAGATCCGTCTGGAGATCCGTCTGATGGCACTCAGCTCCCGCCTGGCGCTGTCCTCCGCCTCGCTCTGGACCACAGCCCGGGGCTCCTTGCGCAGGGACAGCAGCAGCTGGTCCTAGCCCGGGCGGGGGGGGGAGGGAGTGTGTCACCATGTCGTCCCGATGCCCCCCGCAGGGATTCATCCTGGGACGCCCCTCCTCGCTACTCCCCCAGCTCACACTGACCAGGAAGTCCCCGCTGATGACCATGGCCACCTCAGTCTGCAGCTGGAACCTCAGGCTGCGCCTGGGGGTTGGCACCAGCTTGCTGTGCTCCCCATAAGAGTCCAGGATGACGCTGTGGGTGGACAGGGGTGGGGGTGGGAGCTGGGCTCGGCCTGGGCCACCCAACCCTGCCCTGCCTTCTCCTCTCCTGGACTTCCGAGTCCCACTGTGCCTCAGTTTATCCTCCAGGTAAGAGCTTACTTTACGTCCTGCGCCTCCAGGATGAGCATGTCGTCCGTCAGCAGCTGGCACGCGAACCCGATGTTCACTGCCGTCTCTGCAAACCAGGTGCTCAGCATCGAGAAAATCCCACCTGCTCACCCTTCCCGGGGCTCATGACCACACTATATGGCCTGACCAATCACAACAAAGGCTCCTCCCCGTGGCCATTGTGATTGGTTCAGGGCTGGGCATGTCACCCAGGTTGGCCAATAAAAGCCAGCCCTGAGCCTGGCCTATCTCGCCTGAGCCCTGAGCAGTGGGCTCTGCTGTGCTCGGGTCCCAGCATACCTTTAAGAACCCTGAAAATGTCTAAATTTCTATCTAAATCACAAGTGAAAAAAGTGAATCCCCAGTCCTTTTTTTTTTCTTTTTGGTACCGAGGATTGAACTCAGGACCTTGCCCTTATGGGGCAGGTGGCAACACCACTGAGCTAAATCCCCGGCACCCCAGCCCTTTTTGAGAGAGTCTTGTTAAACTAAATCATTAAAATGTCCAGGGTGGGCTTCAACTCAAGATTCTCCTAGGGTCGGGGATTTAGTTTAGTGGTTCTGCTGCCTGCCTTGCAAACGCAATGACCCAAGTTCGATCCCCAGTACCCCCCCAAAAATGATTCTCCTGCCTCAGCCTTCCAAGTGCTGGGATTACAGACTCCCACCAGGGCATTTTTAATTGCTCCTGTGCCAACCTGGAGAGCAACGCTCAACCCAACAAATGGGCCATGGGCCAGATGGATGAAGGAGTTCGAACAGGGGGACAGGGCTGGTGGTGCCACACCTTGCTTGTCTCCCGTGAGCACCCACACTTTAATGTTCCCCTTCTTGAGACTGCTGATGGTGTCCGGGACCCCGTCCTGGAGCTTGTCCTCGATGGCTGTGACTCCCAGCAACTGGTGGGGGTGGAAACAGTGAAGGTGAACTCAGCTCCCAGCTCCCTGGTCCCGGGAGGGTCCCAGGGCCAGTCGGCCGGCCCCACGCATCCACCCACCTGCAGGCCCTGCTCCATGTCACTGTACACCCGATGCAGTGCCTGCTTACGATCCCGCAGCTGCATGGAGGCCTTCTCATGCCTCGGCCGCCACTCCTGGAAGGCACACTCCTCCACCTCCTTGTAGGCCAGGCATAGTGTTCGAAGGGTCTGCTCTGTGAAGGCCTGGTGTGGTGGCCGTGGCTGTCACTGCCCTGTCCCCAAACTAGCCTCCCTCCCCCGCATGCTCTCCCTCTAGATACCAGCTCCCTCCCTCTGGCCCCCAGGCCTTTGCAGGGACAGAACACTTTTCCTAGCACCTCCCAGGCAAATTGTTTTTTATGTTTGTTTTTCAAGATTGGGTCTCATGCTGGGGGTTTAGCTCAGTGGTGTTGCCACCTGCCTTGCAAGCACAAGGACCAGAGTTTGACCCCTGCTACCAAAAAAAAAAAAAAAAAAAAAAAAAAAAATTAGTAGTCCCACACCCCCTGTCCGTTTTTTTAAAAAAAAAAAAAAAACAAAAACAAAAATTGGGTCTCGCTACATAACCTGGGCTGGCCTCTAACTTTGTGACCCTCCTGCCTCAGCCTCCCGAGTGCTGGGGCCACAGGAGTGTGCCACCACACCCAGCTCTGTGGCAGATTCTAACTCTCCCACCTGGAACCCCTCCCTGTCAGGGGTCCCGCAGCTCCAGGCACCTCCCTCAGAATTCCTGGAAAGGCCCAGAACCCATGCACCCTAAGAATGGCCTGGGGGCTGCTGGTTCCCAGTAAGGCACCCACTATAGCCATCCCAAAATCCCCTCCCCCGGGGGGGGCTCAGGTATTATGGGGTAGGACCTGAGGTCCCCTGCGATGGCACAGTGGGGCTCAAGGGTGGCCAGAGCTCTTGGGATTTGGGTCCTGATTCTTTTTTTTTTTTTTTTTTTTTTTTTTTTTTTTTGGTATCAGGGATCAAACTCGGGACCTTCTACTTACAAGGCAGAAGGCAGAACCACTGAGCTAAATCCCCAGTCCCCTATTTTTGGTTTTTTGAGACAGGGTCTCATTATGTGGTTGAGACTGCCCTGGAACTCACTATGTAACCCAGGCTGGTCTTGAACTCACAGCAATCCTCCTGCTTCAGCCTCCCGAGTGCTGGGATTACAGGAGTGCACCATCACATCCAGCATTTGGGTCCTCATTCTAAGAGACCTGAAGCCTAGCTCTCCCCTCCTCAAGGCAAAGCAGGCACCCTGGGGACCCCAGCAAAGCCCTTGGGGAGCTCCCAGCTAGGCTCTGGCACCTTCATCCCTGGTTCAGGCCCAGGCTAGAGGGGAGAGGCCTAGGGGTGGTGGAGTCAGCAGAAGACAGAGAAACAGCCGCAAAGGGTAATCTTTGGAGTCTGGGCTTCACCCACAGACCCACAGGGGAAAGGCTTTGAGCAGGGGTGGCTGACAGACATCCTGGAACCCAGGTCCAGCTAGGAGATTAGGTGAGGGGCAGCTTGGGCTGCCCCACCCACAGGGTGTCATATAAATTGAGAGATACCCTCTCTGGGCAATTTTGATTTGGGGCTCAGTTCACTCCCAGTGTGTGTGTGTGTGTGTGTGTGTGTGTGTGTGTGTTGGATGAGAAGGCCCTTGAAGAGTGCACAGTCTGCCCAACTGTACATGGCTGTCTAAACAGTCCACAGCTATTTCCCTACCCACTCTTTTCTTTGTCTCTTCTCTCTCTGTCCCTGTCCACACACTTATGTGCACACCAGCGTTCCCCCAAGCCAGGACTCACAGATAAAACTCTTTCTGTGTTTGCCTCCATCACATCCCTCTTGCCCAGGCGCTCAAAGATGACCGTGTCAGCACCTTTGGTGTAGAGGCAGATGGAGCCCTCTGGCGTCCGCACTGCAGGGTCAGGGGAGAGGCCCAGCTGACCACACGCACTCCCCCAACCCTGACCCCATCTGTCCCCTTCCTAGAGCAAGGAGCTGTCATGGCCTCACCCAGCACCGACATGCGCTTTCGCTCGCTGTTGAAATCCATCAGGGCCAGGACCTCATAGACTCGCTCCTCCCCCAGCTCCACCACTGTGATGGTGTCCTGGGTGCGCGACAAGAACACGTAACCGAAGTTCCGGGCTGCCGTGACCAGCGCCTCCTCGTCTGGGGAAGCTGCCTCGTACAGGAGCTGGTCTGGGAGGAAGGAGAGCATGGGGTAGGACTGGGGTGGGCAGGGAGCTTGCACAGAGAAAGACAGAGACAGAGACAGAGAGAGACCTAGAGACCACAGGCAGGGCCGGATCCATCTGTACAGCCAGAGGAGGAAACTGGGTTATAGGGGCTCATAATTCTTCTTCTTGTTGTTTTTACTGGGAACCGAACCCAAGGCCTTTGCACTGAGCTACATATCCAGCCCTTTTATTTTTGAGTTCAAGCTGGCCTCAACTCATGGGGATCCTCCTGCCTCAGCCTCCAAGATGCTGATAATTACAAGCATGCACTATGCCCAGCTCTTTTTTTTTTTTTTTTTAATAGACACTCTCCCTAAATTGCTAAGTTGCCCAGGGTGGGCTCGAACTTGAAATCCACCTGCCTCAGCTTTCCAGAACACTTACAAATATTTGTTGGATGGTGGTCCCTGGGGCCCCTACAACCTCCAGGCCCTGAGAAAGGGAGGTGGGTGTGTGGGTCCCCGTCTACGTGACCTCACTTGAGGGCCTATTCCAGGGCTCAGATCCTGGGCCTGCCCATCCCACCGACCGCGAGCTCTCTGCTAAGCCTGGGTGGATGCAGCCCGTGGGGTGCACAGTCAGGAATCCCAAGCGCCCCGAGGCGGCGGGTACTCACTGTCCTTGTCCTGGACCATGACCGTGTGGCAGATGGCCAGCACGCGCCAGAACTCCTGCACCGCCTCGTCCTGCTTGCTCCGCACTGCGCGCAGCAGCTCGGCGTTGAAGAAGGACAGCCTCCCGTCTGCAAACTCGTTCCACAGGTAAGGGTTCTCCTGTAGGGGGCGCCGGCGGGCAAGGCAAGGGCTGGCTCAGGCCCAGCCCACGCCACCCAGCGTCCCGGGGGCTGGCGGCAGCGCTCACCTTGGGGCATTCCCCTTCCTCGTTCTCCGGACCTGGGGAAAGATCGCAACTTTCAGAGCTCGGCTCCAACTCAGGGTCCCAGTGTCTCCTGTCCCCCAATCTCAGGCTTCGGATGTCGCCTAGGGCAAGGTGGCTCCACGTGGGGTTCCAATAGGAGCGGCTCTAGTCCTTGGGGGCACCCGGCTCCCTGTGAAGGGTGTGGGGCCCTCACGCCCCCGGGGCGCGCCCCTCCACAGCGGGCAGGGCGGACGGCAGGCCCCACCGTAGACGCGGCCGCTGATGCAGCACTTCTTGAAGGCCATGACGTTCTGCGTGAGCGTGCCGGTCTTGTCGGAGAACACGTACTGCACCTGGCCCAGGTAGTCGTTGAGGCTGGTGCTGCGGGCCTTGGCGGGCACGTCCTGGGGTGCGTAGTACATCTGCAAGTCCCAGTTGATGAAAGCGCTGTTCCCCAGGTAGATGAACTCGCATCTGCAAGTCACCGCTGTTACGCAGGGTCGGGGCCACCAGCACCGCCACAGCGGGCACAGCCAGGCCGGCCGCAGACTCACATGATGAACATGGCCATGGGGACCTTGACGCTGAGCAGGATGAGGAAGGCCCAGAAGACCAAGAAGGACTCCATGAAGAGGCCTCTGGAGGGCTCGGCCGGCAGGTAGTAGTGCTGGTCCTCGAACTTGCGTGCCATGAAGCAGTAGCCCAGGGTCAGCGCCAGGGAGACCACCATGAGCATCAGGAAGATCTGTGGGCCGGCAGCACAGGGTGGAGGTGCAGGGGGACCTGGGGGGCCCTGGGGTGTCCTGGGGACTTGACAGCGGGGACACCTGAGGCGGATGGCCACCAGGGAGGCAAGTTCTCCACTTTCGTTATCGTGCCTAGTCTTTTTTTTTTTTTAAACTGGGGATTGAACCCAGGGCCTTCACTCTGAGCTCCATCCTCAACGCTTTTCTTTTTCTTTTTTTTTTTTTTTTTTGGTACCAGGGATCCAACTTGGGAACTTGCACTTTTGAGGCGGGTGGCAGAACCACTGAGCTAAATCCCAGGCCCTCATTTTTTATTTTGAGACATGGTCTTGTCACTGAGTTACCCAGGCTGGGCTCAAATTTGAGATCTTCCTGCCTTGGCCTCCCAGACTGCTCAGATGATAGGGGTGTATCATCACACCGGGTTTATAGTAGCTTTTATTTGTTTGTTTGTTTTTTTGAGACAGGGTCTCACTATATAGTTCAGGCTGACCTTGAACTCACATCAATCCTCCTGTCTCAGACTCCCAGAGGCTTATAGGAATTTAAAAATGAGTCTGGCGTGATGGCCCACACCTGTAATCCCAGCACTTGGGAGGCTGAGGCAGGAGGATTGCTGTGAGGTCAAGGCCTACACAGCAATCTTATCTCAAAAAAAAAAAAAAAAAAAGATGATTGCATAAAAAGTATTCTTAAATTTCAGAGGTCAGGTGAGCATTTTATTTTTTAGATTTTTATTTATTTATTTATTTATGGTACTGGAGATCCAACTCAGGACCTTGCACTTTCGAGGCAGGTAGCGTCACCACTGAGGTAAATCCCTGGCCAACAATTTTCTGCGAGTGTGAAAAATGTCAGAATTGAAATTTATATTATAAAACTTTTTTTAAGGAACAGGGATGATTGCTCAGTGGTAGAGCACTTGCCTACCACATTCAGGGCTCATGGCCCAGGTTTCGTCCCCAGTACTGCCGAACCACACTCCCTCCCTTTTAAATTTAATTTATATTTTCAACAAGGTCTCACTACGCTTCCCAGGCTGACCTTGAAATCTAGATCCTTCTGATAGCTGGGATTACAGGCATGGCTCAGAGAAATTTTTCAAGTTGTCATTCTGAGCGTGGTGCTGTACTTGTAGCCCCAGCCATTGAGGAAGCTGAGGCAGGGGGATGGTTTCAGTCCAGGGGTTTGAGGCCAGCCCGGGCAACACAATAAAACTTCACCTCAAAAAGTTTTTTTTTTCTTCTATGTGAAACATCTACCCGTAGGATCAGACTGCACATTTTGCTGAAGAAGGAAAGAGCCCCAGAAGACAACAGCCAAGGCTTTTGTCAACAGGATGGGGCCCTGTCCCTGCCCCTCCCCGGTGTCCCCCAGGGCGAGGACTCGCTTCTGCAGCTCACCAGGACCACCAGCTTGTTCATGAAGAGGTCAATCTTGGTTCTCTTCAAGTGGATGTTTCCACAGTTCTTCATGATCTTTGTGTCAAAGCCTGTAGGATTTGCATCCATCTGTCCTGCTGTTACTAACCCTCGATTCACCTATCATTCACCTACCCTACCACCCAACCACCCAGTTATCCAAATGCCTCTCTTTCCATCTACACACAAACTCCCCATTTTTTGCTCCCAAAACCATGGTCCTGGCTCAGCCTGTCCACTCTTCAGGCGGAGACTGAAGCAGCAAAGACACAGGCGCCCACGACGCTTCCAGGCTGTGCGGCTGAGCCTGGCCCCACCGGGACTGCCCCGCCCACCCTCGCCGCCCTACCGGCATAGATGACCAGGCCATAACAGGCATCCGTGTTGCGGATCTTGCAGCCGCGCAGGAGAAGGTTGCCGATGTCCAGGGGGTACTTCTTGCTGTTCCACTCCAGGCTCCCCACAAACTGGTGCATCCGACTGTTGGGTGCCTCGCACACCACCGTGCCTGTGGCAACCTGGCAGTCACCCCCATGGCTCCTTGCCACCTTCCCCAGCAGGGAAAAACATTCCTGCCACCCCAGCCATTGGCCCCAAGGCAGCCCACACCCTACCACTGGGCACCCCTGGAAGCACCAGCCCCACCCAGCCCCCTCGCGTCCCCTTCCCGGGTTGCTGCTAAACACTGCTCGTGCAATGGCAGTGTTCTCACCTGTGAGCCTCCTCTCGGGCACACTGTGTCCCGGGGGCGGGCCCAGAACTCGGCCATACCAGGTGCTCAGTAAGTGTATGGGGGGGGGTGGCCACTTGAGGGAGCCTCACCCAGCACCCTAACCTTCCTGGGAGCCGGGACCAGCCATGTCATCTACCACCACCCTGGGACTGGATGTTGTTGGCGTCCCTCCCAGTTCAGCAAATGGGCTCCAGCAAACACTAGCCCAAGGCAGTGGTCAGGGAGGGATCGAATGATGGCCGGGACCCCAGAAGGCAAAGGGCTGAGAGGTCATTATTACATCCATATCTATCATC